CTACCTGGGAGTTAAGCGGTCGAAGCATAACAGGAGACGTCTGTTAAAGGAGTCCAATAATTAAAGCAATGGCGCGATCATCATTGCCCAAAACTAAATAGGCACCCACAGTATCTCTCCGTCTCTAACCGCCCTCTTCTTCCATACGGTGGCCAATTAGTACGATTATGGTACCGATTAGGTTTCATACAATAACCTAAGAAAACACAAAAACAATAAAAAGGGTATGTTTAACGATAAGTAACTAAACACGGCGCAATAAACCAATGTGCAGTTTTACCACGAAGCTGGGCAGGTCTAAAATAAACTCAACCAGCTACAAACGAAGTAGTCAAAAAACACAGAGGGTTCAAAAGAAAAGCCCAATACCAGTCTCACACAAATAAGTAATATTAAACCCCTTGATATAACGTTCACTTAGACATCGATAAATTCAGTCTGTCGCTGTGTTATAGTAAAGCTAACTGAGCTGTAGATTGTTTTAGAAAAAGTCGGGTGACGGAAGATTGTCAGAGTTAATCATTCGGTGTAACCAGCGGATGGGGCTGACAGGACTGCGGTTGAGCTCTATCGGGTGATACAAATAGCCCATTTAGTGAGTTTAGCACCTAAAACGAGCTGGACAACAACGCGTTCACCGAACCAACCAAGTTGTCTTATTCAGGGGTTTTTCAACCAGGCAACAGATTGAGAACAAAGTCGAGTACAAGCGTCAGAATGTAATGTGACCTGCAGTGGAAAATGTACAGAGAGCCAAGCACACGATACAACTCACCGGAAATTCGGTTAAGTTCGAGGTCATATGCGATCTCGAAACAGAGGGCAATAAAGCAAAATAGGGTCTCTACATGAATCAGGGGAATGGTGTTGGAAAGTGAAAATAATTTCACTACATGAGCCAATCAATATCAGCAAGACACGAGGAATGGGAAACCATTAGCATAAGGCCTTCCGCACACATCTTAGATGGAGCCCTCGTGAAAGCTATAATACCATAAATGATCAGTTGGTGGCAACTTCCGACGGAAAGCCAGCACACACTATCTGGAAGTTTCTACTCTCGCTGTTCAACGCATGCATGG